CCGAAGTGTGAAATGTAGGACCACTAGACTGAAAAACTCTTTCTTTCCCTCTGCCATCAGACTCCTAAACAGCTGACGAGTTTATTACCAGGAAATATGTGATGTACTGTTTACATTCTGTTTGCACATGCATAATTGCACAATGACTGTTGACTGCTGCACATGCTGCTCCCATGCAGCATACATTCTGTTATATTCTTGTATATTTTTTTCTACTATACTGCTTAAAGTGCCTTAGATTTTGTTATTTATTTATTTACTTTATATTTCATTTGTATTTTGTGGCATTCATGTGGATGGCAAAGTAAGAATTTCATCGTACAGGGAAACACGTTTCCTAACTGTGCATATGACAAATAAACACTTTGACCTTGACCTAATGATAATAGCTGAGAAATGTAATCAGTGCTTTCTACAGCTTGATCCCACCAGTGGGTGGAGCTGCTGTTTTGGGGAAGCACGAAATGAGAGCAAATGTTTGCTTCTTCAGTTTACAGATGATTTAAATTGTTAAGGAAGCCCTAAAACAGCTGGCTGCTAAAATGAACCTCCTCTCTCCCCACAGAAACCCGATGGTAACGGGGACGTCGGTGCTTGGTGTGAAGTTCACCGGCGGCGTCATCATCGCAGCAGACATGTTGGGTTCATATGGCTCTCTGGCTCGATTCAGGAACATCTCCCGCCTCATGAAGGTGACGGTGGTTGCTAACAGATAGCTGTAGTTGTGACTGAAATTAAACATGTAGCGCTGGGAGTTTTGGATCCTGGGAGCTGAGATGAAGAACGTGTGTTTGCTTTTGTTTCAGGTGAACAACACCACCATCCTCGGAGCTTCAGGAGATTACGCTGACTACCAGTATCTCAAACAGGTCATCGAACAGATGGTGTAAGCTGCTGCTCTGACACAGACAGTAACACAAACACCTGCAGGGATTAACACAAACTTAGTTTCCCACTGGTTCAGAGTATCTCCAGGCTCTGGGAAACTCTTAAAAGGCTTTGATGTCACTTCCCTCCATTAAAATGTTTTTCTAAAGTTAATTTCATGTTTAACTTACAAAGGCCTCGATTATCTGTCTCCTCTACTGTAGACAGTGGTAGTAGTTAAAACTTTTGGCTGTCAGGAGTAGGAGGCAGTTGTTGGTTGTCGGCCTTTCCACAGGTTTTTTGTTGCTTCGCTGAGTCCAGACATGGACGTACAGTGTTGTGAGACAGTTGGCCATACATGGGTAAAGGGGTCTTACCCTCCTATAGGTCCCCTGGACTGAGAGACACAAAACTAATACAAATGGTGTCGACAATATGTGATCGGTTTGTGTCTCCTGGAGGCGTCTTTTTGTCTCAGGTTAGCTGGTTGTTTTTTTCTGAGTTATTGGAACCTACAGACAAAATGTGATATGAATGTCAGTAAATGAAGGTACCTACCTGCTGTCACTGTAACATTTCAATCCTCCTTGGCCAGTATGATGAAACTGGTGTTAATTACATCCACGGTGGTATTAAAAGGTTGTCTTGAATTGAATGTGTTGAACGCTGCACTGGTTGTTGTCTCTGTGCCAGGATCGACGAGGAGCTGCTGGGGGACGGTCACAGCTACAGTCCAAAGGCCGTCCACTCCTGGCTGACCAGAGTGATGTACAACCGTCGCAGCAAGATGAATCCTCTGTGGAACACTGTGGTCATCGGGGGGTTCTACAACGGGGAGAGGTGAGCTGCTCTTCTGCTTACCTCTGATTGGCTGTCTGTTTAATGGCGCAGCATTATGGATTCCTGAACAGCATTTTGTGAGCTGTGACGAACCAGCCGGCCATCTTGCCCCTCTCTCTAGTTTCCTCGGTTACGTGGACAAGCTGGGCGTGGCCTACGAGGCTCCCACTGTGGCCACTGGCTTTGGAGCATACCTGGCTCAGGTGAGTGTTCTGGCTCTCTTCTGGATCCACACTGTCGCTGAAGTCGCAGCTCACTTCTGACTGTGTGAACTTGTATAATCTTCATTGAACTGGGCCACCTCAATTGTGATGATACAAATTATCAGGTAGTATAGTGAAATCTCTGAGGTGGGGTGGGCAATATAAATGATAAAAACATTTAATATGATATAAAATGTAAACAATAGGAAAATGGCTAACTTTGATAAACTGTCCATAAGGGACAGCTTGACAGTGCACATCGGCCTATCACATCACAGGAAAGGAGGCGATTCTAACAAACCTAGTTTTTTTATTTATTTTTTTTTATTTTAAGAAAAGATGAACTCCTAGAAAACACACAGCAAGACTGGTTGAGTTAGTGGAGCACAGCATGTGCCACACGCTTCCACTGTAGCAACATTACTACACGTGAGTCATGGTGATATAATGATAATCACTTTTATTGGCCAAGTATGTTACACACAAAAGGAATTTGTCTCTGGTTCATAACTGAGGCAGCCATCTGCAGCGCCATTTCACATATACACCGTTGGCAGTGCTGTCCCTGCATGGCACTGTTCTGGACATTGGGCGCAACTTGGGGTTCAGTGTCTTTCCCAAGGACACTTCGACATGTGGACTGGGGAGAATGGGTCGAGGCGCCAACCTTCCAATTGGGGGATGACCACTCTACCTTCAGAGCAATAGCCACTATAATTAAAGGTGGTTTTGTACTGGACGACATATTCAGAGGTGTCTCTATTTTTGCCCTCCCCAGCTACATACAAGAGGGGCTCAGAATATTAGGAATACCTCAGAATATCATGTAGTCCAGTACGATACGCCTTTAACTATGACCTCAGCAATAAATAGAATACAATATCTTGTCATTGCACTGAAAACAATACAATGGAATTTAAAAGACAGCTTTTCTAGAGACACTTCCATCACTCACACCCACACATCTCACTCTATACAGGTAAGTTGATTAAAAACTCAATGAAGTACGTACAGTGGGGCAAATAAGTATTTGATACACTGCCGATTTTCCAAGTTTTCCCCACTTACAAAGAATGGACAGTTCTATAATTTTCATCGTAGGTACATTACACCTCAACTGTGAGAGAGAGAGAATCTACAAAAAATTCCAGAAAATCACATTGTTAGATTTTTAAATAATTTATTTCCATTTTCTTGCATGAAATAAG